CCCGCGTGATCCGATTTAAAGGGATAGGCCTGGGCCTGGAATCACCTTGTTGACAGCCAAAAGATAAATACAACAGGTTGTTTTTGAAAAGAAGTTTAGTTGGTTTGCTGTAGTCAAAGATGTGGTGATGGGGAGATTTTTGTTAAATTGCTGATAGCAAGGCACTATCCATGGAGTTGAAGGCATTCTTGACATCCACCTTCAGCTCTACCTTCACTGAGTCAAGCGATAGATAGGTGGGAAGAGCGTGAACAGCTGCTTCACAACCACCCTTGACGCCAAAACCAAGCTAAACTGGTTGGAATTCAGAGTCACAGTAAAACAGTCGGTAAAATGTGGTGATAACAAATTTTGGCAGTAAAACTTCGTCTCTTTTTCTTAAACTTCATTTTAATTACAATACAACACAATCTGGGAATATCCTTCCTACATAGCGTGCGCTTCTCTAAAATTTCGGCCAGCAAATGTTCGCACATAGTTGAATCCATAGCATATCCTCGGCGGACATTTTTTTCACGGTAAGGGACTCTTGTCCTCCGCGAACAAATATCCTTCGCCTGCGCAGGCAAATATGTAGTGTTACTGTCTGTCTTGATAAGAAATAAACAGTCGCAGAATCTTAGGTCAAAATATCAGATAACATGGTATCTAAGAGTCGCCGCACACGGGCCACATGGGAATCACGCGAGTGACGTGTGGCGGCGTTTTGTATCGGTGCATTAAGTGGCCGCTGCGGGCCACATGAAGCGAGCAACGTCGATTTGTAGCGTGTGGCGGCCACCGGCGTACCGAGTGTGGTGTCCATATAAAATGTATGAAAACTACAAGAAATATGCCGGTGGCGGCGTTTTGTGGTTGTGGTCAGGGGCCCGTGTGCGGCGACACTTAGGTAAACTTTTATTGGTGAACGGGGACTTTAATTCGTGGACCGGGCTAAATGGCAGCTCTGTGCCTGTGGGCAGATCCAAGAGATTTAAAAATCTAAAACATAATTCATATTGTAAATAAATGCTTGTTAGACGCGCACGTCACGTACTTGCTAACAAAGGTCATATTATGCGGTCAAAGAGAAGGTGTAAAAAGCTTTTTACTATTTTCATAATGACTTCTTTAACCTACAATTTTGCATACTTTTCATGTGTTATGTTTCAGGTTAATGACCTAGCAAGCAGTTTTTTTCTCATACGGATGTAAAAATTGCCCGTTGTAAGCTTATACGACTTCAATAAAATAAATAGAAAAGTCGATTTCAGACCAAACTGCTTTGCTCTAGGTAGTTCGAACTCCGTGGCTGAGTGGTTTGTACCGGGTTTCAAGGTGTTGCCTACTCGAGAGGTTCGAATCCCGGTGGGGGCAGATGTTTGTGTGATAAATACGAAGCATTTGTACTCCAGTCATGGATGTTTAATACACATTTCTATATAAATATACTTATATGTGTATCAGTATATGTATTTTATCCGTTAGCCTAGTATCCCATATCAGAAGCCTATAGTGCTTACTTTGGAACTAGGCTACTTGGTGTGTTCTAAAAAAATCTTTTAAACGAATCTTTTGTTACTTATTCAATTCGTAGGACTCTTATATTTTAACGTTGACGAATAAAAAAAATACAGTTTTAAACCAGATTTCATTTTTTTAACGTGCAGGCACTTATTTATGCATATTTTGTACTAATAAGTAGTCAATTAGGGGGGAGTATAAAAAAAACTTATTTTTATAAAAAAAAAAGTTTATTGTTACCTCTAGTTCATATTTACTATGAAATTTGCAATCTCGAATCTTCAGTTTAGACTTGAAATAATATCATAATTGTCATTATAAACATTACTCTAAAATTACATTTATTTTAGTTTTGTGAAATCACAAATACGGTAGCATAATGGTCAGTGCGTTCGCTCGAATAGCGAAGGGTGTGGGTTTGAATCTGAGTCTGCTGCCTGGTCCGCGTGTATAAAAAAAATAAAAAATAAAATTTTCTTTAGATTTAAACATAGCAGTTACATGCTTAAAAAATAAAAAATATACATTTAGTTATAAAGTACAATAAATTTTATTTACTTTTTAAAACAAGATAGAGGAAATGAGACATATATTTACTAACCAGTAATAAATAGTTTTCTTACAAGAATTAAATTTCCCCTAGCAATTATTTTTATAAATAAACAACCATTTTTTCGTTTACACAGAGACTTTCCTGATGTTACACTGTGCCCCTTGTAACACTATCCCCCACTTGACTCTACCTTCGAAATTTGATATTCATTCGTGTGTATAAGCTCGCAAACAAATAGGTTTCTATTTGTAACCTAGTCATGGTTAGTTGTTTAGTTGAGGTGCCATAATAATGAGTCGTGTTAGACGAGTAATGGTTTCGTTACATTGCATAACTAACTGTACTCGTTGTTATTAATCTCACCGTGATCCTCATTAACCTAACGTTTACGCAAACTGTTACCTTACATAAAAGAGGAGTTCGGAGCAAGGTTGCCAGCCATACATTTTTTTTCTCGAACTTCTGCAGCTAAAAATCTCTTAATCATGATAGACTCCATAGACTGAACAGTTTTTTTTCCAGTAAAATTTTGTTTAGATTCAAACCTCTAGCAGCTAAATGCTTAAAATACGGGTTTGGATACTTATGGTTTATGCTTCAACATGTTGCCTGCAATGATAAATCGTGTTATAAAGGACAATGGGCAAAACGCACCCAGCTCCGCCAACAATGTAATTAGTATGAATCGATAGATCTATGAAAAACTAGCCTTTTTTATTATGACACCGAAAATAAATATCCTGGGAGTCAAAATATATGACACCGTAAAATATATTCTGGTAGTCAATAGATATGACATATGGGCATATTTAAGTAGCTGAATAAATTCATTTTATATTACCTTCATTATTAGTAATCGTAATAATATGCCATATCGTACTATACAACCAGATATACGACAAAGCCTGCCGACCCTCCTGCGCTTGCTCTTAATGAGACATTTCAAAACGGTTTACGGATGATGAAGGACTTGCAGTTGCAAATAGTCGACTCTTACTTCGATCTGATTGTGCGCTCCCTGCTACTTGATTGATTTTTATCTAACACGCTTTGGATATTGGAACACGATTATCGGTTTTGTCAATTAGTATGGATGAACTGGAATTATGTGTTCTCCGAAGCGTGTACAAGTTTGTGTTATCTGTGGTCGCTCCGTTTTACATATCTTCTATGTAAAACGGACAATTTGCTATAACAAACAGAATGTTTAAAAAATACCCAACCCATGCGGGGATGTTTGGATTTACTCTAGCGCGGCAGAATAACATAAGGGGGCACGCTTGCACCTTGTGAAGTACTCCCATAATTCCTGAGCACCCTATGTAGAGTCGAACTAACTCACTAAATTAATTCCCTTGTTTCATTAATGTTCGTTCGTTATAGTACTTATACACATTTAACTTAAAATAACTAAAGATCCCCGGGATGGAATTTGATGCGCTTTGGCACAGATGATCTTGACTATAATACCTTTCAGACAAATGTAGTTTAAGCCGTGGCGGACGTGGGTGCAGCGTCCATACATTTTTGTACTTGTACACATTTAACTTAAAATAACTAAAGACCCCCAGGATGGAATTTGATGCGCTTTGGCACAGATGATCTTGACTATAATGCCTTTCAGACAAATGTAGTTTAAGCCGTGGCGGACGTGGGTGCTGCGTCCATACATTTTTGTACTTGTACACATTTAACTTAAAATAACTAAAGACCCCCAGGATGGAATTTGATGCGCTTTGGCACAGATGATCTTGACTATAATACCTTTCAGACAAATGTAGTTTAAGCCGTGGCGAACGTGGGTGCAGCGTCCGTACATTTTTGCCCAATGTCCTTTATCTGACAAAATCTCGTACATAGGTGTAGTGTTCTCGTACCTCGTACGAAAGGTAATCTCGTATTTGTACGAGAATTCTCGTACGGTTGGCAACCCTGGTTCGAAGTAGAAGTGTTCCAAGGGGTAGGGGATTGGGTCAGGGTAGGCAACGGTGCGAGTGATATTTTTTGGTATCGCAAGCGTCTATAGACTATGGTGGCCGCTTATCGTCAGGCGGGCCAATGGAATTATAATTCCTTGGTCGGGACATATGCTTGTATGCCACCCTTTTATCATAAAAAAAGTTAAAATAAGCAATAAGTAACTTTAAAATTACTTCTGTGTCGCAAGCAAGCTTTTCAATTCTATAAATTAAATTAAAATGTTGGATACACATAAGCTTACTCTAAGCCATTTCATTGTTTAGTGCTTATTTTATAACTTAGGTTATTGTTATAATAATAATAATAATAATAATAAAGAGAATGGGCCGTTGTGTAAACGCACAATTGTCAATATCGTCTTAATTTAACCGGCTCATGAGTTATCCCAATTTCATCATCATCATCATCAGCCTATTAATGTTCCCACTGCTGGGGCACAGGCCCTCCCTATGGATGGAATAGGGAGATTGGGCCATGACTTACCACGCGGGCCCAATGCGGATTAGCGGGTGCTGACGACTGCAGATGCAGCCGGGACCAACGGTTTAACGTGCCTTCCGAAGCACAGATGAACTCGAGATACAATAATTTTGGTTGAAAGTTGCTTAACTTCAACGATCGCAACCGAACTCGCTAACCACCTGCGCCATCAAGCTACTCTATCTCCCAATTTATTTCACGTGTTTTATGTTCACTGGCAAGATATATGGAATAATTTTAATAAAATAATTCTTTTTGATTGGATCAAATCTCATAAAATCTAACGGTATTAGCTATCGCGAAAGTACGCCATTTTTTTATAAAATTATATTTAGTTAGGCCTTTATCCATACCTTTGTTTTATAGCAAACTGAGTTAAACTGATTGTGATTACTCTCTGAGTTTCTAGAAGATATAAGTAAGACATATGAATAATGATGAAAAGTATAATGTAATTCACACGTCATGTTGTTTCTTCCAACAGTGCCAACACAGCGATGGACAACGACGTGACACCAGTGTACCTGGCAGCCCAGGAGGGTCACTTGGCAGTCCTCAAGTATCTGGTGCTGGAGGCTGGAGGCAGACTGGACGCGAGGGCCAGGGACGGAATGCTGCCCATCCACGCCGCAGCCCAGACCGGCTGCTTGGACTGCGTCAAATGGATGGTGAGGCTTTTCTGTTAGTTAGTTCATAATTGCCAATATAGAAGGACAACGACGTGACATCAGTGTGCCTGGCAGCCCAGATGGGTCACCTCGCGGTTTTCGAGTACCTGGTGGAGTGGAAGAACTTTATTTTTTTCTTTACATTTCAGCTCAAACACTTTGGTAAAAAATCATACCCAGACATGGACACAAGTAAAATCTAAAAATCTCCAACTTAGACATCACATAAACATTGTGCTTTTTACTACGTGAAGAATATAGCTACCTATCTACAAAGATGCAAATTTAACAAAAAACATGTCTGTAGTGCATTTATCCGTACCTTAAAACCACAACAGAAGATTCTGAAACAGCATTGCCATCCTTGTCATTCTCATAACAGAATGAAAAGGAGAGACTTATGTTAAATTAAGTTTTAAGTTTAGAGATCATACCAGAATCGATACCATTATCTTATCCGCTTGGATGATTTTATGGTTGTTAGGACATCGTATCTTTTAATGTTGGCAATAAGCTGTTTCAGCATCTTTTATAGAGGTTTTAAAGCATGGGTAACTGCACTGCAGATGAGGATGGGTGAGATGGGTTCTGCACTACAGAACTGAAATAAGGAAATTTATCTAAGCCACTACGTAATACTTATCAGCTGGGTAATAAGATAATAAATGTTCAATAATTCTTAGACAGCTTATGTATTATTATGATCTATGCTTCAACCTATCATGATATTGTAAGTACTTACATATAAGAAATTAGAAAGTTTGTCAAACAAAATAAACAGCTTTTATCAGCACCATCATCACCAGTATAAAAAAAAACATCATCTCAGCTGTACGACGCTCACTGCTAAGCATAGGCCTCCCCAAGGATTTCCACATTGATGGGTCCTGTGCCACGCTCAACCATCGGCTTTATCATCAAACAGCTTTACCAACAAATAATAGACAAAACTAGTAAAAACCTGCAAAATGTTAACAAACTTGTTCTTAATACGGTGTCCAAAACATCCAAATTCCATAATAACGGTTATGCAACGGCTATTAAAATCCTCAACAAAATTCCTGAAGAAATAATAAAGCAGCTGCCATTTAACAAAGTGCAAAGTACTAAGGAAATGGCTGATGGAATTGTACTTTTACTCTGTTATAGATTTTTTAAATTTAAACGTATTATAATGAGAAAGTGAATAATTATTTAATAATGATTTTTAGTTGGTGTCATAGTAAATAATAATATAGAAAGTAAGTTTCATTGTTTCTTCTGCATGCTATTTCATTTATTTAGCTATAAACGTTTTTAGAATAAAACAATAGAAATAACACCCATAATTATCATCATCATAATTATGTATGTATGTACCCTATTTACTGCAAATAAATGATTTGATTTGACATCTAACCAAGCAATAGTCACATTTCTGACCGTGTTCTGATATGTGACATTTGATTGGCGCGACTTGTCGTGAAAACGGAAAATGTACGCGGGAGCGCGACAGTGTGGCCGTAGCAAAAAGGACTCTTTGATCTAAACACACCTCTGCTCGGGTACGACTGAGTTCCCACTAGTACTGGGAGTACTCATGGCAATCCCACCTCTCACAGACTTGTGTTGTTTTTGTTCTTTTTTCTAATTCAATTATCGAAAGTCATCGTTAGCCTATTTAAATGGCCAATGTTGGGCACAAGTTTCACCATACGGTACAAAGAAACTTGGTCACTCATTTCTTTGTCGCACTTTTCGTAAATGGAATGCTCTGCCCGCTCACGTGTTCCGTCCCTCTTACAACCTGGGATCCTTTAAAAGAGGCGTAAAGAAGCAACATGCAGGCCGGCAAGGTGAGGATGGCTGGTGTGGCAGGTAGAACTGCTGAACCAGCTATCTTCAAGTCTTGACTTCACCGTCACTTAACATCAGGTGGGGTGGAAGCATTTGTAGAACCTAGCTATAAAAAAAATATTTGACGTCAACCCCTTCCCTAGTTGAGATGTCAGCTACGACCATTAATCTGATCACCAACCATATAACACTAATTTAGTTAACTGACCAGTAATACATAGCATATCTAGCATTGCGATCCGGTACACTATCGAACGTCTCTGTATGAAATTTAATAAAATTACTCCATGTCGAATTACGATGTACGAAGTCGAAATCGATGTACGTCGGTATTGAAGTCATCGCACTTGGACATTTTCTCTCGCGGCCTTGCACGTCATGCGCCCGTTGTTTCTTCGCGCTCTACCACGTAGATTTACACCACGTAAAGCTAATTAACAGGACCGTGAATAATGTGATTCGATGGTTAAAACTATGGAGTAACCATGGTGTCCGAGAAAATTTGTTGACTAATTGGATATCTAAACGGCAAATAAAGGTTCGGGTAGGTAAAGGGTCACAAGAAACTTAGGAGTACAATACAATACAAAAAAAAATATTGTACACCACAAAAATATTACAATACCTATGTGTTGTTTATCCAAACTCCCAAACCTCATCACCTACCCTTAGAACTATGAAAAAATCATTAAATGCAGTACCACGACACTTAACGCTAAGCTCTGCTAATCTGCCAAGGGTAGTTATGCAAGTTGTAAAACAATTCATATTGTGTATGTTAGAAAGTTAACTAATTGAGAATTAATTGCCGTAGTTATATCAGTGGTCTGATTTATAGAAACCGTTTAGATGTTTGCAGCCCCGCTACACGCCGTGGTTATAAATAATGACGATAAATTGTCGACTTTCAGACCATAAAACGGACTCTCTCTTTGTAGATTTAATCACAGCTGTGATGTGACGTTGGTGTGGTTTCTACGAGGCAAACAAATAAATACAAAAAAAATGTAAGGACAGTTTTGGGATAGATATTTTAAAGACTGCTTTGTTCTGCCTAAAAGAATCAAAAGAGGAATGGAAGCGATTTATAGCTTATTCAAAAGTTTTTTCCTTATTAGTGTGAGCATTATACAAGGCGCGGAAAATTATTCAATTTGCCGCGACCTACCTGAAGTAAATTATAAATAGAATTCAGCATACAGCAACACGATCTTGTCTGTGGTTATAATGGTTCTACTCATTTCACTGGGCTCTTGAGCTGGACGAAATCAGCAGGGAAGAATCCTCATCGCTGCTAACGCAGCCCGCGTCGATCGGGTTGGTCTATGAAATTCAGTCGCAAGACACTCTAGGGTCATATAATAGTGTCAATACAGCCGTCCTCAATTTCTCACCTTCGTTGGCTGATCTCAACAAACCAGCTCCTTAAACCATGTGGAGTGCCCAGTCTATTCTCTATGTTTATTTTGTTAGGCACCGCAACATAAAAGGAAGAAATGTGCTTTGATTAATTTTTATTTTTATCTTGTCTCAGATTGTAGAACGGGGCGTGGATCCGAACGCTAGGGACGGCGATGGCGCCACGCCGCTGCACTTTGCGGCGTCGCGCGGCCATCTGACCACGGTGCGGTGGCTGCTGCGGCACGGCGCCAGGCTGCATCTAGACAGGCACGGCAAGAGTCCCATCAACGATGCAGCAGAGAACCATCACTTGGAGGTGAGATTTAGACTATTATACTCGTATCTTAGGCACTGATCCCACCGTGGAACGAGGCAGCACATCGCGGCGTCGCGCGGCCACCTGATCACGGTACGGTGGCTGCTGCGGCAAAGCGCCAGGCTGCATCCAGTCAGGCACGCCAAGAGTCCCATTAACGACGCGGCAAAGAATCATCACTTGGATGTGAGTTTTAAACTATGAAATGATGATGGCAGGACGTGGAAGAAGGTTGCAGTTTGCGGCGTCTTGCACGCGTAAGACCGTTCTTGTAGTCAAGTACCAATCAGTACAAATGATCCACGCGAATTGTTGCGTGCAAACATGGGGTATGGTATGGGGCAGCGAAAAATGGATGAAAAATGGGTAGCAGTGTGTTATCGCTTGTCATTTGAATTCCTTTGACGCGCGATCACACGTGACGACACGCGACCATCTGAACTTTGCCTACATTCTTAGGTACATATTTTATGAGTGGCTAGTTATAACGTTGCGCCACCCGCACTCGCGGCACGCCTTCGGTCCTTAGAGTGCATCTCCGGTGATCGGTTCAGGGGTATTGTCTGTGGTTTCAATGCTTCTGCTCATTTTTCTGGGCCCTTGAGGGACGAAATGAGCAGGGAAGAATCCTCATCGCTACAACCCTCGGTAGCGAGGAAGGCGTCACGTCTTTCCAAGCAAAAAAAAATACCATAACTGCCATGCTAAAAGCCAAGTTAAAAATCGAAGTCATAATCATCCTATTAATGTCCCCACTGCTGGGGCACAGACCTTACCTATGGATGGAATATGTAGACAGGGCCGTGATACACCACGCGGGCCCAGTTCGGATTGGTGGGTGCTAAATACAGGCGGGACCCACAGCTTAATCTCGAGATCATAAATTTTTGGTCACCCATCCAATAACCGATCATTGCGTAAGTTGCTCAACTTTCACGATCGCCAAATGCGATAACTATCTGCGTCATCGCTTGCGCCAAATCGAAGTTAGGTGTTATAAGTCATAAAGAACCCCGGCCCACAGACAACGCAATGTGCAAGACTTGACAATGTTTATATTAGTCAAACTTTTAAAATGGCACGGCAAAAGCTCCCATCACCTTCATGAAATATTGCATAATTGGGCATTTCGTTTGTTCGCTACGTTTTCTCATGTGAACATCCTTGAGATTAAAGAGAATGTATGAACATAATGATCTAGGGTATTAATTTGGAAAGTCTCTCGGTAGAATTTTAATATCAATGTGTTAACTTGCAATATGCGTATCAGTAACTGCGTAGCAAAAAGTCAGGTGCGTTTGTGGTAAATATAAAGGTTTTACGTTTACTTTAATGTGCTTTTGTATGATTGGTTTAGTCAATTGTCTTTATTTTGGAATTAGATACGTAATTTATGCTTTATCGGGGACCATGACGATTATCATCCAATGTCAAAACTATCCTCAATAGTGCAGTGTTAATTTATAATATGAGCCATTGACGATATTCTGACATAACTCCAAAGTTAAATCTAAATTTGTCTCTCCTTTTTATTCTCTTTGGAGCATGCTAAATCCGTCTTCCTACAATCGGGGTCCTTTAAGAGAGGCGTGAAGAAGCATTTCTGCAGGCGGGCAAGGTGAGTATGATTGGTGTGGCAGTACCAGCTATATTTGCGTCTAGACTTTATCACCACTTAACATTAGGTGGGGTAGAGATATTTGCCTTCCTAGTTTTATAAAAAAAATATGAGAAAGTGCCGACCTATCTATTTTACCTTTCGATTATGTTTATTGTCGTGAAAAGCAAATTAAAAGGTATCCACTGTACATAATTACTACATTGTCCTGGCTGTATCTTATGTAACTTCAGAAGACATAGACCTTACTCACATGCTTTGCTTTTTGTGTCGTTTCTATTGTCTTTCTTTTTGTCTTTTCGTTTCTTTCTTTTTTTGTTATTTGTAGACTATATCTTTTTTTATTTATTATTTATTTATTTATCTTTAACAAAGTTTCTATAGCGATTTTTGTGGATTTGATAAAATATAAATACAATCTTTAGGACAATTACAGAAACTTACTATGTACACATTAGATACTAACGGCGTTACTATATATCGATATTACATTTATTAGTAAAATAGAATAAAATCAAATAATTTACTAACATGGATAGAATTAAGTTAAGATTTTGATAAGACATAACAAATGACAACAAAAAAAAACACTAAATATTATTTTTAAAAGGTTTTTAGGAATTTGTCACATGATAACTTTATGAAGTGTGTACTGTGGGTGTGTATCTGTGTGTGTTTATACATGTGTGTATCTGTGTGTGTTTATGCAGCTGTAATGTTATGCGTCATACTCGTAAAGTCATAATTTAAAAAACGCCCCGGGCACTAGATTATTCAACACCGAAGTTCAGTGTAAGTGCTTGTAATTGTAAGCTTACAATAAGAATAAAAACAAACTAAGTGTCAAGGAAGTAATTTAAGACGTATTTGGAAATGCTTCAGTTCAGTCATTTTTGACATTAATAAGAATACGAATTGAAAATTATAAATAAAATTGAAATTCAAATAAATTGTATAAATAAATAACAATCAAATGCATATTTGGGTCTTGCGGCTATGTTTTCAAATAATGCTGATTTAAAAGCGGCTCTTGTAAAACGAGAACAGGTCGATATCGGAGATGTATTTGTTGTGTATGTTTTTGGCAACCTTACCGACATATCGTTGACCTTGTAATTTGTACGCACAGATGGTACATGAAAAAGTTGCGTGTAGCGAGTTATTTTTCAATCCCCGTCATCGAAAAAAAGGAGCCTTTAAGGAAACAATTCTATTTATCAACTCGGTGCATAAATCGAATAAAGCTATTATGTCCCACATTCGTCGCCTATCACTCAGAGTAATGAGGCCGTATATGGTGTGCTATGATTCATTTTTAAATCTAAAGTTAAGGTATTTTACGAATTTCATTTGTATCCGTCCAATGGCGTGTTCATGTGTTAGGTAATGTGGATTCCACACGGTGTTCCAGTATTTAAGGGTACTTTGAATACAAGCATAATACAATACCTTCATGAGTCCTTGAAATCCTTCGTAACCCTAAAAATAAATCCTAAATTTTTATAAGTCTTTGTAGTTATATCGTTAAAATGATTGGCGAATGTCAATTTTGAATCCAAAGTTCCCTCACAAAATTCACTTTATGTAGTCACTACTTCATTATTAAGTTTAAAATCATACAGAATAGGATCTTTGCAACTCGTGAATTTAATATGCACGCATTAGGCCGTGTTAACTGTTATTTTGTTGCTTATGTAATACTCTGAAAGTCGGTCCAGATCTTCTTGCAGTTTTAAACAGTCATCGTATGATTCAACTTTCATATAGATTTTCATATCATTAGCATAGAGTAAGAGCCTAGTATGCTTAAGACATGAAGACATTACGCTTATATATGCTATATAGAATATAGGATCGAGTAACGAGCCCTGCTGCATGCCTGACGTTATACTGATAAAGTCAGAGCTAATCCCGCCCATTACAGTAGCCTGTTTACGATTAGATATGTAAGACTTTATCCATCTATACGAATGGCCTCGTATTCCCAGTTGATAAAGCTTTTTCAAAAGAATGCGTACGCGGTCGAAGGCCTTTTCAAAATCTGTATATATCACATCCACATGTGAACGAAAGCCCATGTTAAGATGCAGTTCACTAATGTACAAACTTAAATTTAAAGTTGTTGATCTCCCCTTGAAAAAGCCGTGCTGTTCGTCGGGTATGCCTTGCTTTAAGGAGGCTTGGATATATTTCTTTGTAAGCAAATATCTTCAATTTTGATAAAAAAAAAAATATGAATTGTAAAATACAGAACGATCTTGCTCAAGCAGATATTCTTGCTCAACAGTACCAGAAATTATGCTCGCCATTAGAACAAAAGGCAGCGTTTCAGATATTATGTCATATAGTAATAACTACTTCAAACCAGTTACATACCTATATATCAACAAAAACAATATTTCAAGGAATACAACACATCCAATGATATAATGAGACATAATTCATGTTAGCAAAACCATTCGATACTCACAGTACTTACTTCCAGTTTCGTAATACACATAATGCGCTTATTAGTATTACTTACGCGACTGCACATAAATTAACAGGAAACGTCTAACTCAACCAGCGTGAACGGGCAAACCATAAACAAAAGACATTCATAATTGAAACATCTGCGCGGTAATTACACGGTGCGATCACTTTCTATCTTGCCTATGGTCAGGGTAATCGGCACAGACAATAGAGCAAAGCTCACGTTTGGAAAGTACGTACCAGTTTTAGTGGTCACACTCTGTTGGTTGTTGTGAGTGTAGGAAACCGATTCGAATATAAGTCTTAGTGGGACGTAATAAAGGCGCTGTCAAGATATGAGTTTTGGTACGCCAGCAGAAGTGCATATGCTAGTTGGTTGGCAATTGGCAATTCTAATTAACAACATTCACGAGCTGATGTTCCGGATTGTTCAGTCAATTTATTATCAAAATTTATTCACATATTTTGTAACTTCCTCTACCTTAAAGACTCGAGAGCCCTGGTGACACTACGGTGGAGCGTTGACTCCCTTCGCAAGGAGATGCCGTTCGCCTATAAAACCACCAGAGCCACTCGTTATTTCCCGACTTGAAGTCCTCTAAGGATCTCGTCGAACTAAGCCTGGTGCAAGTCATCTGTGACCAACAGCATCACACTCCATGAACTAATCCATAGCTAATTTTTTGCATAGAAAACTTTTTAACTGCTGTCAATATTTTTTTGTTTATATCATAATCAAGTGTAAGTTCAAACCTCTTTTGTCACAAGGGGTGTGCACTTACTTTTAAGTTTTATAATAAATATTTTCGTCAAGTTTTATTGTTTTCCTGTTTTCGATATCAAGAAATAGCAATTTAATGAACTGAGTTAACAAGGGCTTGTGCACTCCAAAAAAGCTTCCTAGAAAACAACTAACAGCCAATCGCTTTTCTTAGCTTGTGGTCCCATGAGGATCTCGCCAACCCAAGCTCGGTGAAGACGATGTAAAGGTCATCTGCGTTGCGTAAATATAATTACTACTTGACTACTTAGATGTAGCGCAAACCGGGAGAGGCGTGGCGAAGATACTACTTGTGGCGACTCCGAGCGCGGCCTAGAGCCACGGAGCGGCGCGCAGCGACTTAGAGCGCGGCCTGGAGCCACGGAACGGCGCGCTGCGGCTTAGAGCGCGGCCTGGAGCCACGGAGCGGTGCACAGCGACTTAGAGCGTGGCCTAGAGCCACGAAGCGGCGCGCAGCGACTTAGAGCACGGCCTGGAGTCACGTAGCGGAGTAGTCGCGTGTCAGCTCTCGTGGTCGCTTTTCAGCGCTGTGCGCCGCTGTTCTATTATTTTTTGCCATGCAAGTTTTAAACTTATGATATAGGAATAAGAGTATAACTTAAATTTTTACCTTCTCTGCATCTTCGCCGCGCCGCTCCGAGTGTGCGCTGCACCTTGGATGAAGCGTCTTTGATGTAAAATAAAGATAATTAATTTTTTTTAACATATTTTAGTGTTTAATACAATGTTGCTACTTTAGACCCCCACCTTCTAGGTATGAAAAGGATTTTCAAATGAAAAGTAATGGTAATGACCTTTACCCGCGTTTTTTTGTGTATAATTTGAATCACTTTAGGTATTATTAAAAAAAACTGATTTCAGTTAACAATATCACATTCAAAATTGGACATGGTTAAAGAATACACGGCAGAGCTGACCCAGACAGGGTGATTTAGCACATAATACAATAGTAAAAGGTTCAAAATAATTATGGAAGGTCAAACGGGGCCATTGACTTCGCTAGTAGAAAAGTGTTTTCCATACGATGACAATAAAATAGATTACAGGCTAAAAAATGTAAATAAATATTTTCCGTGAATTCGTCTGTAATTACAAAAAAATACCATGGGAACTTGTTATTGGGTCTAGAAATTCTACACGGTAACCAATTAGACCTGGAACTCATATTTGGTACATATATATAAATACACAACAACATTTTTTATCGGTTTGGAAGACTTAATGTGAAATGATGAAAATTTGCAGAATATTTTCACCAAATACCAAAAACTTAGCCTTTGGTTCTGACCAATCCACACTGGGTTCACGTCGTGGGTCACGACCCATTCTACCTATTCCATCCGTAGGGAAGGTCTGTGCTCTAGCGGTGGGGACATTAATAGGGTGATTAATTTTAGCCCATGTGATGGGCCAAATTTCTGTTTGGAATAGAAGGTTTATAGTTAGCATGCAGTTACTAGTAGAAGTGCACGAAACTAGCTGTCAATGGACCTTGATAAACTTTTCACCACGGGAAAGTTAGCAGGTGGCGCAATATTACGTTTCTCTGTTACTGTCAGTCTAGGTGAAATCTGTAAAAATAACGAATTTAATTTTAATTAATACTTAGCTATTTAAAAAATAGTTTTCGGTTCGGAACTTAAGGAATTGTATTACTTGAAACTACCTATTGATAAGTGTCTAAAATAATTTAATTAAAAAATTTAACAATATAACAGAGGCGATGAAGAATACACGAACAGTTGGTGCAAGTATAGCCTAGATTTTTTTGCACTCGATTGATAATATTATTTTTTTGTTTTGTCCAGTGTCTGAATGTGCTGGTGGCAGCCGGCGCTGGTGCTAGTGAAGGCAAGCAGCTAGCGACGTACAAGGCGGTCCACTCCTGCGCCTGTACACCGGGCGATGCGAGAGTAAGTTTTTATGTTAAAAAGATGGCACACAAGCAAATGGCCCGCGCTGATGTTAACCGGCCGCTATAGCCTATAAACGCTTACCATACAAAAAATATCAGTCTCCCCATTACTTAACCTGACCCAATCCCCTACCCCGTGGAGCCCTGAAACCTTACTCACCCACAGAAACACAACACGACCACAAGGCAGTGATATTTTACTGCAAGATGGAGGTTACATCCTCAGACGGTTCCGCCGAAAATCCGCTTTGCTCTACCTCTCTTCCATTCTATCCTGTGTCATTACTTTTACTTACATTAGAAACGAACAGTGGACTTTCCACTCAAATCGGACTGCTTCTTGGAGGAACTATATCATTCACCTTGCAAAGGACTGTGGTCAAATACGTACATAAATTAGATATATTATTCCTCAGAGTTTCTCACTCTCACACACGATGGACCCGGCACCCGCACGGTGAATCCATGGATCGCTAAGAACTTCGTCTCTCTTTCGAACAATTAAACAATTTAGTTATAAATTTAGCAGACCTTAAAGTATGGATACTGAATAACCGGAGATACTAAATACCCGATAAAAATATAAAAAAATGCGTGATAAAAATATTTTAATAACTTATATAACGCGACTGTAGCTCCACCACCTACCGAGTCCAGTTGGGAATCGAACTAAGCTATCCGAGCACGTATCCACAATTCAAACATAAAAATCAGCAAACAAGCACATATCCACAATGGCAAGAAGCCTTAAGACACTTGCGATACCAAGTCACCAGGCTGTTATTCTCGCGTATCCTTCTCTTAATATATATGTGGCACCATGTCACCAAAAGTTCTGATGATATTGTTAAAGGTTGATGCCCTATTGTATTTATGTTTATTTTAAATACCTCTTAAATTTACTTCTAGTGCGCCCTCCCGAACTGCATCAACGCTGGCAGCACTCGTTCTCCCTTCTACCTGCACGCGCCAGAGAGAGAGCGCCGCCCGTCAGTTCAGGAGCGGCGCGGGTCCCTCCCTTCCACAGTCGGCTCTATCAGCTCGGCCCGGTCTGGCCCTGCCGATGGACTGTACGTCAATCCGATGCAGAGGGCAACGTCAACGACGGCCACTCATCACAGCTCTTCAGGGGAGGACAGTTCAGGTAAGTGCATCAGCGCTGGCAGTACTCGTTCTCCTTTGTACCTTCTCGCGCCTGAGAATGCGCGTCGCCCATCAGTCAAGGAGCGACGCGGGCCCCTTCGTTCTACCGTGGGTTCCATCAGCTAGGGCAGGTCCGGACCAGCCGATGGACTGTACGTTAATCCGATGCAGAGGGCTGCGTCAACGACAGCCACTTATCACAGCTCTTCAGGGGAGGATAGTTCCAACCCAACATGAAGCAACAAGGTCAAGGCAATCCTTTGGATAGATAAAAGTTCAGATTAGACTGACTTTTGGCGTTTTAAGACTCATGGCTCACCAGGTTCAAGTAAGTCTGATAAACGAAGAATCAGAATCTTATCCATGGAGCAGTAGACCGCGTCTAGAAAAAAGTAGCCATTGCGATATGTTAATATAATTTGTTCTTGCAATTATTCTGTGATTGTCCCTCTCTTCCACCGTCGGCAAGTGCATCGGTTGCATATGTGTTGCTGTATGGGATATGATATGGGCCTATCAGATGAATGAGTCTATGTAGCAAGTGCTGCGCTCATAAGTCTGCAGCTTTCCCGAAGTCTTGAAAAAGTAGACAGTGCTTGCGGTTCACCGGTTCACCACCCTCTAATTTTGCTGATTCCGAGGCCAAAATTCAAGTTGGGACTATGATCAAAATCAAATACTATTTTTTCCAGCAGCCACAATTAACGCATCTACATTTTTGAAAACTGAACGCGCGTAAAGAAAAACTAAAAACTTACGAATGAGGTTGAGCTGTAGTCTACAATCATTATCTGAAAAAACGATCCTTTTTCTATCTTCCTTGTCATTTCATTTTCTTTAGTAATTTGTGCAAAACTTAGTATAATGCCATATTATTCAATATTTATGATTAATAGCCGATTGTTACCAAATAAGCATTATGCGTAATGATCATTCCACGCCGTTCCACACCTTTGATGTTATATTGGATTAGCGAATCGGTCGAAGTGTGAACTGCGCGGGCGCAACTAACAGGGCGTGAAGCGGAGACACGCCACGTTATGGCTGCTAGATGATCAATACATCAGCAACTAGCAAGTTCGGAAGTTTCTTAATTAAATACTTTTTTTAATTAATTAGCTGAATTACTGAGAACGAAGACCGTAACTCACAATTCGTCCGTCGATTTTTTATATTGCGTATTTCAAGTTAACGGTTACATTTTATTAAGAAGATTGTATTATGTAGATATTATGAAGATGTTTGTATTAAGAATTTGCTACCAGTCTTGCGTGGCTAACAAGTATCAAAGCTTAAATGATACAACTGACTACACTAATTATGCTCAAAATGCGCCACTCACACGATTGTCCAATAACTATAATAAACATTTTAGCACTGCTGATCCTTTTATAGGGACAAAACGTACTTTTATTACCTAACTAATGAATGATCGGGGAAAGTGCATTGTATTAATTAAGCATATTTGGCTAAATAATGAGACACGTAAGGGGTTCGTACTTATGTATATTTTATTGCTTCGTTATATGATAATAAACATTGTATTCATGTTGTTTTATAAACATGTCGTGGGATATCTTAATTAATTAACATAAAGATAGTAATGAAACTATTGTTGCAAATATCTTTGAATGAACTTTAAAGATAGACTCAAAAATGTTACACAAATAAATATGTTATCAGGAATACTGTTATTGGCATTAGTTTAAGAAAATATTACAAATGTAACTAGAAATAAGACAATGCTGTTGTTTTCCTGAAATAAATAAATAAAAAATAAATAGACTACTGGTGTCGATTCTGGCATGGTTCTCTAAACCTAAACTTAAATTTGACAACAGTATATCCTTGTTATTATCCATACAAAATGAAAAGAAGAGACTGGTATTAAATTTAGTTTTAAGTTCAGAGAGTCATACCAGAATCGACATCACTGACTATTTTTTGTGCGCGTAACACTCACTGACTTCTGTAGTAAGTTAACTAGATCTCCACTAGCGAGGGGATGGCATCAGAGTACGCAACGCACGAGTGATACTCTTTATGACGCAAGCGCCTTCATGCTATGGTGATCGCTTACCATCAGGCGAGCATAACTTATTACCAATACCAAGGTCATTGTACTTTCATGTCGCCTAAAAATACTTTCGCGCAAACTATTGCTATCTATTGCAATGTGTTGCAAAACATTGTTAACGAAATTGAGTCTTTAAAATTATTAGTTATGTTATTTGGGTTAAATATGAAGATAATAATGGCCAAAAATATAACTTCACTGTGGCAACTAGCAACCCTACATAGGAAAAATGGTTTACAGGAAACGCATGCGCATCTTTAGGTAACACGGTCGCACATCATTACACAGTTGCTTTCCTGATGCCGAGCCGGTCGGACGTGTCTGCCTGAAGCTAATTACAGTTTTCCGAACGGGAAAAAACATTTTGAACAATGAACGTGATTAGCAAAATTGATTTGTGCCAGGAGTGGATAGCGCGCAGTGATTTTGTGCGATACAATGAATATGGTGTGTTGTTTATTTCAAATTTGTTATTTTTCGTGAACATTTTCGGAACTTATGTTGTGAACTTAATTTGAACTTTTATTATTGAAATTTTAAGGATGTTTTTTATGTTCGAATATGGTAATAGGTGTTATAATTTGATCGGTATTTAGGAACAACTTTGTAACAAACATTTATCAATCAATATTTTAATTTTAATCAATTACTTTCATTAAGGGATTGCAATTCTTAGGTTAATAATGCGTAAAATATAGGCAGGTATAAGGCATGTTTATTTTTTATCAGTCAGTTATTTAGTACACCTGAGATACTGTGTGTTTTTAATTGTATAAAGTGGCTAAGAATTTATTTTTTCTATAAAATTCTTGTTTTTCTTTGTTGTCCCAGTTGGTTAAAGATAAAAACTATTTTTTTTATCAATAGGTAGATAATGACTACACCTCACCTGTAGGCCTATTCAATAACTTTGTTTGACAGATGGAAGTTATAATCACCGAGCTATTTAGTGATCTACTACTGCTTTATTATACCCCCACTAAGATATTTGTTCTGAAAAGCATCGATGGACATATAATTTTCTCTTTAGTTTACAGCCTGTATATATCAAAAATGTTAGCGAATAGACCGGCAGATGTTAAGTGGTGTTAAAGTCCTGTCACGTGAAGATGCTAGCTAGTAGAAGTTCCATCCTCAGTTTGCCGGTTTGCACAACTGCTTCTTTACGTTTGAAGGATCTTGTATTTTGATCGTTTTTATAAAAAATCATGACGTTTTTTTTGTTCGTATTAAATTTTCATATTGTAAAATAATACATATCGCTAAAAACAAGGTGCCTGGTAACAATCACGTAAATAACATAAATTAAGTAGACATGTACTATGAATTTTCATATTACCTAAAACTGTTCTTTTCTTTTTAACTTGGTCATAGATGGATTAAGAACTCGTTTGATCTAAAGAAAATATTACTAGAAAAAAAATCCACGCTGTCCAGGCAGCAGACGGGACTCGAACCCGCTCCCTTCTCTAATTGACTATTATGCTAAAGCGGCCCTGATCGCCATCTCTTGTGGGTAACCCACAATTTCAAATGAATACCTTTACAAATATCAAACATTTGAAAGAAGTCCGTGTGGAATTTTTTGTAGCAAAATTTTCTTTATATTTAAAAATCTAGCAGTTAAATGATTCATAAATATATATAACTCTTTTGATATTGATTTATGTACGTAATTTGTCCCAGCTTGCTCAGCATCAGACGCGGATTCCGCCAACAATGGCGGTTGGTTCCTACACGGGGGCTCAAATAACAACTCCGGAGCACCGGCGGCGCTGTACCAGCGTGTCAGAGACCTGTTCCATACTCGCTCGCCGGGACCCAGGGTCCCTGCTGAGGGGCAGGAGGCTCCGACGATGACTGGTGAGTGAATCTTACCTCAATGTTTGGTTAAGTTGGTTTCTTCAAGAAGATTCGAACAACAGCTTGTAGCACCAGCGCATCAGACTTGTTCCATATTCACTCGCCGGGACCCAGGGTCCCTGCTGAGAGGCAGAAGGCTCTGATGATGACTGGTGGGTGGACCTTGCTTAAATGTTTGGTATAAGATAGAACGTCCACGCATTGTTGACCAATTAAAATAAATAAATATTTCCAACACTTACACCAATTAGCCTAGCCCCAAAGCACTGTAGGCTTGTGTTATGGGATGCTAAGGTAACGGATAGAATACTTATACTGCGTACATACATAAGTATATTTATATAGAAGTACATATTACCATCCATGACTGGAGTACAAATGCTAGTAAACATCTGCCCCCACCGGGATTCGAACCCGGCGTACAAACCGCTCGGTCACGGAGGTCGACACATTTACTTTCTATTTAATAACGTAATCTCCTTATTGCTGCGACAATATAATTGCAGGTAAATCAAACAAGTTACGTTATAGTTTTCCTTAGCCGCAGCCTTCTCTAAGGTGAAGATTACTTTTCCAAACAAGTGTTTCAATTCGAGTGGTAAATCCTCCATTCTCTATTTCTAGATTTAACTTATCCTGTTATCTTCGCCGAACTAAAACGCTTCGCATTAGGACTCCGCTCTTTTTATCATCCTGATGATGATCACATATTTCATCATCATCATCATCATCATCAGCCTCTTAATGTCCCCACTGCTGGGGCACAGGCCTTCCCTATGGATGGAATAGGGAGATTGGGCCATGACCCACCACGCGGGCCCAGTGCGGATTGGCGGGTGCTAACGACTGCAGGTGCAACCGGGACCAACGGCTTAACGTGCCTTCCGAAGCACGGAGGAACTCGATATAGAATATTTAGGTCACCCATCCAATGACCGACCACTGCGAAAGTTGCTTAACTACATAGATCGCAGCCGAACGCGCTAACCACCTGCGCAATCGAGCTCCTCGTATATCACATATTTCACTAATGGTTATTATTTAGATTTGGAATCGTCTGCTGCTATCATTCATAAAACAAAATTAAAACTGTACATTATGTTCCACATAAAAAAAGATAGGTACCGTACAGAGCAACATGTTTTAATTCACTGAACATTGAGCAATTGGTTATACCTAATTGTTCTTTATGTTCATTCAATCGATCATTTAACATAAATCGGTTCGTGCAGCCAGTGTACCATTGAGGTGAGCAGCCATTTAATGCTTAACCGTTGGTCAAGACGTAACCGATGTTATTTTAAGTACCCTAAAATCATTTTTTTATGATTTTGAGGATAAGCTTTAAAAAATCGTTTAGAACCTTTTTACTACTATGCTATGTATATTTTCTTAATTCATTCTTTTTAGCTGCCATCTAAATATGTCATCTGCTGTCTAATTGTCATGTATGAATTACCTATAGTAAAAAGGTCTGACAATAATTAGAGGGCCGCAACAATCGTTGTAAGCTTTAACCTGAACATATAGACAAACATTGTCATAAAACTCTTAATAAAAATAAATGAGTGTTAATGTTGCAAAAAGAGGTGAGCCAAACGAGGGCATAAAAATCTTGTACTTACAATAACTATGTCTGTCAAATCCAATAACAGTAAAGTTACGTCATTACATCAATATTATAAGCTTTAACTTAAACATACAGACAAACATTGCAATAAAACTCTTAATAAATTTTTTATCAAATTGAATAACAGTATATTTCCAACACTCACACCAATTAACCTAGCCCCAAAGTAAGCACACTGTAGGCTTGTGTTATGGGATACTGGGTTAACGGATAGAATACATATATTGCCACATATATAAGTTTATTTATATAGAAATATATATTAAACATCCATGACTGGAGTACAAATGCTCGTATTCATCACACAAACATCTGCCCCCACCGGGATTCGAACCCGGGACCTCTCGAGTAGGCGACACCTTGAAACCCTGCGTACAAACCACTCGGCCACGGAGGTCGTCGAAAAATAATCTGTTAAGATTGCCTTAATTCTCGTATTATGGAAAAGCAGCTATTTCCAGATTTTCAACTGGTATATAAACTTTACTATACTTTTGTCCCTGCCGGGGTTGGCTGCAAACAAGGTGCAACCTGGGACAGAACCATACTACTTATGAGAAGTTTAAGTTTTGATATAGATAGTTTATTTCTGTAACAATAAAAATTAGATATCGCGGGATGCCAATGACGCTAATGTTAAAATAATTAAGTACCTTAATTTTCTAAAAAAAAACCTATATGTACGTTTACACAAAAAAATGTGCCTCGATGGCGCAAGTGGTTAGCGCGTTCGGCTGCGATCTTTGAAGGTAAACAACTTTTGCAGTGGGCGGTCATTGGATGGGTGAATAAAAAAATAAGTATCTCGTGCTCCTCCGTGCTTCGGAAGGCACGTTAAGCTGTTGGTCCCGGCTGCATCTACAATCGTTAGCACCCACCAATCCGCATTGCGCCTGCGTGGTGGGTCGTGGCCCAATCTCCCTATTCATAAGGAAGGCCTGTGCCCCAGCAGTGGGGACATTAATAGGCTGGTGATGATGAATGATGAATGTGCCTCAATCTGACACTTCTTAATGACAAACTTATCATTGCACAGTGAAAGCAGAGGTGCACGGCTCGACGGAGGCTACTACGGCACCCGAGCACTCGGATAGCGACAGCGGAGCGGAGGCGCGCCGCGGACACCATTACGAAGATATATACATCCCCAGAGAAGAACAGCAGAGACGAAGGTACAATATTTTACCTTCAGGGTAGCTATACACATAGTCGGTTAGGCAGTATTTGTCGCAGGGCCTGAAACCGGTTACAAAAATACCGGTAAGTAAAGGTTAATACCTACCGGTTTTTAGTAAAGGTTTCGTTCGGAGCGCGTCCGAAATGAAAGCGGTACATAAAACCTTAAAAAACCGGTTTAATCCAGAGCGACACGTGCACGCGTCGGCATCGCTTAAAGTTTGTTTTGTTTGAACTAATCAAGTCACAACTTGTTAATGCTCAGAGATTGATGCATTTATTGACACGTTAGCTAGCGTCTAGTGAGTCAAGTTATTCATTTTGTATTTGTGTATTTATTTCAGCCGACAGTAAGAGCGAAAGGAAACCCTTTAAAAACCGCTAAATTGATTCAAAACCTATTTGATTTCGCTTTTTAGGAAAACCGTTTTTTTTAAGGTTAAGGTAGAGTCAAACCTAAATAAAACGCTTCTAATGTACTTGACACTGATTTGAGTTTGAAAATTAACCGGTATACAAGTCCAACTTTGTCAAACAACAAAGCCGACCCGAAGTTATTTCTGCCGGATATTCATCTACATATTATATTCGATTTTACCGCCCGGCTGTGCCGATAATACCGGCCCACTTATGTGTGTAGCTACCCTCTGTTAACTGCTTATTATTTCATTTTCTTTCGGTGACTGGAAGACGGACGCCTCTTGCTTGTGTTGATAACCTAACGGATGTTTGTTGCTTATGTTGTATTTGATCTTATATAATTTTAGAATTTATTATGTTTGTTATACAGTTTATAATGGGTCGTCAGTTTGTTTTCCTCAAGTTTAACTTTTATTACTATTCTTTTTAAAATCTTATTTAAGCTGTGTGGCTTATATTGTTCATAATATTGTTATAAGTTCGTTTGAAAATTAAAACTGCACACAAGTAATATATTGTAACGTGATTTCTTATACACGTTATTTCTTATTATATTATATACTAGTGGCCCGCCCTCGCTTCGCTTCGGTGTAGAGCTGTAATGTAGACTAAAATGACTCTTCATATACTTAATTATAAAAAAAATCTGAAAATGGTATATTTGCCTTTTCTAAACTTCTATTGACATCACGTCACTATATTTTTTTGCCTTCCCGGGACCTCTCCACTAATATGTGAAATTTATGGTATGGTATTAAAGTTCAAATTTAGTTCAAAGTATTATTACGAATCGTTTGTATGGGAGTATAATCGTTTGTACGTTAAACTCCAAAATCTTTTCAAATCTCTCAGTTTTTCTGTGCTCCCTCTTAATCCCACTCATCATAATGCTCAATCTTCAGACACATGGCTTGACCTTATTGTCACTTCCTCTGCGAATAACTTCACAAAGTTTGGTCAGTTCTCTGCTCCTGGTTTCTCTCACCATGATCTCATATTTGCTTCATATAAACTGAATATGACCAAACCGAAGCCAAAGGTACTGCTCATGCGCAATTTTGCCAAACTCAACACTGATGCTCTAAGATCTGATGCTGCTGACATAGATTGGTCACCAGTTTTGAATTCCAATTCTATTGAGGTTAAAGTTAACTCATTTAATTCTCAGATTCTTGAGCTCTATAATATCCATGCCCCCTTGCGTCGTGTAAAGCTGAAACGTCCCCCTGCTCCTTGGATATCCAAGGGAGTTCGTATGGCCATGACTAGGCGTGATCGGGCCTTCCGCAAGTTTAAAAAGGAAAGATCGGAAGATAACTGGAATCGGTTTAAATCTGCCAGAAATTTATGCAACCGGATGGTGAGATCTGCAAAGCGTCGCTACTTTTTCGACAGCCTGGCTAACTCCACATCAGCCGGGGCCTGGAAATTATTAAAAAGTGTTGGTCTCGGAAAGTCCCAAGCCTCTGCTGGTTTTTCTTCTTGCTCTTTTTCACTTAACGAACTTAACTCTCATTTCTCTTCAATTTCACCTCTAGACTGTATCACCAAATCCAACACGATTTCTGAATTAAAATCTATTCCGTCTCGTGATATCGAGCCATTCTCCTTCTCCTTAGTGTCAACTGACCATGTTAAAGAAATTTTTCGTTCCCTAAGTTCTAACGCTGTCGGCTGCGACGGCATCAGTCGCACTATGCTTCTAAATATTCAGGATTACATAATCCCAATTTTAACACATATCATAAATTTTTCCTTCGAGAATGGTTCGTTCCCTTCCTTGTGGAGAAAGGCCTTTATAATTCCTCTCCCTAAAACTAATAACCCTAAGGTATTGAGCCACTTTAGACCCATTTCTATTTTGCCGTTCCTCTCTAAAGTCCTGGAAGCAGTGGCACAAAAACAGCTTTCTAAATTTATTCTAGACAACTCATTACTCTCACAATATCAATCTGGTTTTCGCCCAGGACACAGTACGTCTACTGCTCTTCTTAAAGTCACTGAGGATGTCAGAGATGGTATGGAGCTTGGCAAGTTGACAGTGCTCGTGCTGATTGATTTTACCAATGCTTTTAACACTGTCGACCATGATATTCTCCTTGCCTTTCTGGCACACCTTAGTGTATCTCCATCCACCTTAAAATGGTTTTCCTCATACCTGCACGACCGCCATCAAGCGGTTCGTGTTGCCAAATCGCAGTCCGATTGGTGCAGCTTAGCGGCTGGCGTTCCTCAGGGCGGTATCCTATCGCCACTTCTTTTTTCCGTTTTTATCAATTTCATATCCACTTTTCTTCGCTGTTCGTTTCATTTGTACGCCGACGACTTGCAGTTATACCGCCGTTGCAGTTCTGATGAGATTGACTCTACTATATCTCTCCTCAATGAGGATCTTGATATGCTCTGCAAGTGGTCTGAGCGCTTTGGTGTTGTCGTCAACCCGACTAAGTGCCAGGCTATTATTATTGGTGGATCTCGCCAAATATGTAAGGTTGATATTGGCGCTGTAAGTCCAATTGTCTATAATGGCATGCAAATTCCTTTTTCTACAAGTGTTAAGAATCTTGGTTTGTACATTGACAGTACCTTTGGCTGGTCCACTCACATTAACGAGACATGTCGGCGGGTCACAAATATGCTCCGTGCCCTATATAGATATAAAAATTTTCTCCCTGTTCACACAAAAATCTCTTTAATTCAGGCTCTTGTCCTACCATCCATAGATTATGCTGATGTGTGTTATCCTGACCTAAATAAAGATCTTCTTGGTAAATTGGAGCGGTCTCTTAACAGCTGTATTCGATTCATATTCAGTCTACGGAAATATGATCATATTACTTCATTTCGCCGTGAACTCAATTGGCCGCCTCTTTCAGACCGTCGTGATTTAAGAATTCTCACATCTCTGTTCTCAATTCTTTTTGACCCTAATGCTCCGTCTTACCTGAAGTCCAAATTTCAGTTTTTAAGTTCCACACACTCTCGTCCTCTTCGTTCATCTGAAAATCTTCTTTTGTCCATCCCCTCCCACTGCTCCAGCTTCGTATCAAACTCATTTTGTCTCCCAGCTATTCGTCTCTGGAACGATCTTCCGGAGAGTGTGAGAAAAGCACCCAGTAAACCTGCTTTCAAGGTCCTCGTACGTCGGCATTTCGCTAAGAAGTCATAACAATTTCAATTTCTAAGTATATTATAATCAAACTCTGGTCAATCCGCCTAATATTAATTTTATTTTTATTATATTTTATTATTATTTGTATTTTGTTTTATTATAGTATTGTTAAGTAAGTATAGAGGTATTTATTATTGTATATATTTAGGTATTTATCGTATATATAAATATGTATGTATATATATGTAGTTATGTAAGTATATTTATAGATGTTATGTATTATAATTTTATATTAAGTATCATGTAGTTTTATCATTTTTTTTTTTTTTCCTTTCACCTTTTGCTTTTATTTACTTAACCGCATAATTGTCTCTGCTTAGCCCGATGGTTGACTGGTAGAGAATGCCATGTGGCATTAAGTCCGCCATTTGTTGTAAATAACAATAAAGAGTAAATAAATAAAAAAAAAAAAAAAAAGTATAGAAAAGTGTGGTTTTGGACTTTTTCAGGCAATTTTTTTAATTCTCTCTGCGTAAGAACCATCCTCGTACTACAAGGAATATTCTAAAATTAGAATTATCGAAATCGGTTCAGCTGTTCTCGGAATTTTGCGTTTAGCAACACATTCAGCGATTCATTTTTATATTATAGATAGTGTAAATCTTAATTGATTTGATCACCTTATGAATGAGACAGCGGTTACTAAATAACTGTTGATTGGCCTATAAATCAAATAAAGCACAGTTAATTATACTTGGATAAATTAATTATTTTGTTTGGCAGGAGCACGTCCCGTGACTCAGGCAGCCACAGCCGGCCGGGCAGTGCTGCGCTCGTCGTCGACTACACAACCAAAGACAATAATGACACGTATGTATCCATCTCTTCATAGTATCAATTCCACATAAAACATGATGACATAATTACTTCCCGCAACGGGAACTTTGTCCCACATTAAAGTGATTGCAGAGTCCCAATGAAGATTAAATACTGCTAGACAGCATAAATAAACATAATTTTAACAAAGATTTCAGCTCAAAGACAATAAAGAAATTGAATTGAATTGAAAGGTAGATAATAGGGTATTTGACAGTATTAAAAATAAAGTGCCAATTGTTAGCATCTGTATTTAGAATGAATATTGGCAGGAGTTTTTACTATTTTTACAGAAAGAATATTCATAATTTTACTAAAAGTCCACGATAAAGATAATAGATTTCTTGTCTATTGTCACGTGACGTGAAAACGCTTTTAATTGGTGGAGCCTAAAATGACGTCACACGCAAGTAAACTTCCGGTTAAAGTGACATTAGATTGTATGGTTTGACGTTTTAATGACAGTCGTGTGTCACACCAGTGAGACGCCATATTGCCCGGAGATACGTTTTTCGCGGCAACTTGAACATAGAGTTTTTGATTCAGTTTTTTTACCGCAATACACAACATAATGATGATATTTTATGGACTCTATAAACATTAGTAAATAACGTGAAATCTTTTTCTAAAACTTGTCAAATACCCTATTAGGAGATGGTCACAGTTGGGTCACAGTCCATCACAGGTACAACACTTTTACAAAACGTAGTACCTTTTTAGTGAGAAAACTGTCTGTACTGTATTATGCTGCAGGCATTCTAAGCATAAGTATACATTGATATTGCTACCATTAGGCTACCGTAATATGACCGTTAGAAACCAATTTTCGCAATCAAAAGTCACTTGTTCGACTGCAATAGTGACGAAAATAATTCTTTCTATTTTTTTGCAGAATAAGCAAAGCATACGAAGAAGTGTCCCCAGTGGTGGACCCTCAGGCAAAATCCACAATAGCAACCAAACTCGCAGCCCTCACGCACAAGGCACAGAACTTTGTAAGTAATATCGACGTATTTGTTAGGTAGCTTCTAAATACGCCTTTTTTAAGTGGCAATATTGGGAGGGTGATGTATGAAATCGGGTGCTATTCTATACACGTCCCTGCCGCTAAAAAAAGTCCAATACCTTGGTTAAGATCTGAATGATGAAACGCCATGAAGTGAGACACATATACCTATGAATCTGACTTTTATCGCTCATAATTACGACAAGCTCTAGAAAATAATCAATGTCTTTCTTCCTGGCTCTTGCATTTTGTAAGACAGTGTTTATTTCCATTGAGAATAAAAATAAATCACATTAATTAATCGGTAGTAGGCACACTACGGAAAAATCGGTCCTGATTTCAAAACACATGATATCGCAATGCTTCCCGTATCCTACTCAGATGATAATCCTGGGTTCAGCCCACCCGATTTCAGAGTTAGGACTAAAAATAATAAAACTGAGCACGATTTGCCCATGCATAAGGCGATCAAGAGCGCTCCTTTTTGTTTTAATAAAATTACCTTGCCTTGTATTGAAAACTGGTATAAGGATTATGTGAAGAAAAGCCCTGAAAACGTAACACCCTTAAAAGGTTATATTATTGTTTGAGGACTTCACTCAGATCCAAGCAGAAAGCTTACCAAACCTTATAAAACTACCTTTTCCTTCATTCAGCTTCAGTACTTGCAGCAATGATCTATATATCTCTCCCTTTCAAGCCCAGCGTTATGCTAGTACTGTACATGGCTATTATTATTTGCTTTTTGTTAACTTAACTGCAGTCCCTCCTTTTCTCTCTTTATTGTGTATGATAAGGACAACCTGCTGTCAAAATTTTAAAAAAGAAAATACGAAAAGTCACGTGAAGAACCGGCATAAGAACTGTTTGTTTCTAATTTTAAGGTTCTCTTATTACAAAATATTAACAAAAGCATCTTTCTCCCCAGGCCAGCCGTATATCATCAGCGGCTGGCAGTCGTCGCGCGTCTGTGTCCGACGAAGCAGCTGTAATACAGACATCAGTATCTGCGTCTTCAGGCGTGTCGTCTGGCGGCAGTTCAGGAGACGAGGCGCCCCCTCCCCCTCCACCGCCGCCCGCGCCCCCCACCCCGCCTGTGCCCCCACCGGCAGTATTGGAAGAACCAGCGATACGGCCGTCTGAGCTGAGAGGACGATTAGGTAAGTAATATACCAGCAGCAAGAAGCGCAGGTAGTACAGGGCCAGAAAGCACACCGCGGGCGGCAGCTCTTTGCTGGCTGGTGCATCCTTGCATACTAGAGGTCGACAGATGAAGAAATCTAACTACAAGAGACGGCCTGGGATAGAAGGGTTAGTGTTGATCGAAGATAACCCGATGTAGGTTTAGATTTTAGTATTTATCTACTGCAGTATTGTATCTCGTAGTTAACTCGGAGAGGCAGTTCCTTTTCCTTCCTCAGCCAGCCTTCAAGATTTCCGAGCTGAAAATATGATTGAGTAAGTGATGTCTAAAGATATTGATTAACTCTTACTACAAGGGCATTTCTAGCGGTGGATGGTTAGTAGATGAGTCTACTAGGTGATTAAGAGTTCACAAGGACAATCCTAGGAGAAAAGCTGGTGTTGATCGAAGATAAGTCGAACGACGTTCAGAATTTAGTATACACCTACTATAGCTTTGAGAATAAGCCTGTCGTGTGATGTAAAAAGATTTCAGTCAAGATGCAGATGGTGATGGTATAGACGTAAGTATACCATTATTTATAATACTAACAAGCAGAGAGGACGTTTAGGAAAATTATAGCTGAAAATGTAGAGATGGTACAGAAAGTAGTTCTTCGAACTCTTCCGAGGTTTTCTCTTGTGTTCAAGCTCTCCTGATGCTATCGTCCATCGGTTAGACCTACCGAACTAAGAAGACAATTTGATCAGGTGATAGGTAAACTTTAGAACAGGCAAATTCTGATGTAGCGATGGAATAAAATAATAATATATTTACACCCATATTTACTTCGGAATTTCAAACTATGCTATTTTATTGGAATTTTCAGCTTTCAGAAAATATTTTTTTCTCTCATTTCATTCTCCAAATCATAACGTCAAACATGTTTTGATGTCTCGAAGTGTCGAAGCTTGAAATGAAATAAAATATGTCAGAAACCCATGATTATTAATGTAATTTATTTAAATGAAATAAATATATTCATTGTTTATCACAATGTAAAAAGAAATAAATAAATGCATGAAATTCGCGCAATATGTACAATATTAGGGAAAGTACCATTCGCATGCAGTACACTTCTAGTACTTCCAGAAGATTTTATAGGTACCCTTGCAGAAGACGAGGCGCCATCACCACCCCCGCCCCCCGTGCCTCCGGTGCCGCCTCCGCCACCGCCGTTATCGATGCTAAAAGACTTAGTGTTAAGTCCTTTAAAACTGAAAGCCCGACTTGGTGAGTCTCGAGATGTTCAAGCTTCGCCTCAATGCGTAAAAGTGTGTACTGCGTGCCTATCTACGGCGACTTGCGCTAATATTAGCATTCTTCATAGCATTGTCGTCTTCAAGGATTTGCTTGCGCCTCTAAGCCATTCTCATAGTCTCTGTTAAAGAACAAGTCTTTGCCGATGCGTACTTATAATATTTTTCACATTTTACTGCTTGCTATTCGTTGTAATTTCGTTCACAATTGAATATTGTGGATCTCAATCATCATCTATCTCCTCTTTGCGTCGTCGTTTCTCGTCAATTGCTTGCACCTGCAAACCATTTCTACATTGCCTGACTTTGATTGACTATAAAGATACTTTGCCAGTGCTATTTTTAATATTCGTCATATCTTTCTTGTTTGCTTTCGTTGTGAATTCATTTAGATGTTTATTTCAATCATCACACCTCCCTATCTCCCTTTCAATCGTAAATATTTTGTATTTCTCATTTAGTTTTTCGTCAGCAAGTGTCTTTTTTATCTCCATTGACATCATAAATATTTTCTATTCCTCTTTAAGTTTTTCTTCAGTAACTGCCTTTTAGGTTGGGTGTACAAACACAAATTTTACCTTTTTCACGGGTTTATTACAAAAGTAACAATCTTTTAGAGTCTATTTGTGTTTGGGCATTTTATCATTGCTTTCGATTTTGTCAGACCTTTATCAATAAATGCATATCTCTATTACACGAGAAGCTATATTCCGTTTTTCTTGTAGTGTTACTTTATTGATCTCGTCTACTTTGCTAGCTTTATCTGCGGTACATGCAGCAGCGTATGTACTACACAATATAAGCATTACAAAAATATACAAATTGTACACAATAACGTATTTATAAAGTCCTTCTTGCAAAAGACGCCATGAAAGAGATTCGGTAAGTATCTACACTAGTAAATATCTAAAATTCCTGAACCTGACATCTGTCTTATCGAAATAGTTATCATCCTATTAAAGTCCTCACTGCTGGGATACACACCTTCCCTATGGATGGAACAGGGAGATTTGGCCATGACCCACCACGTGGATGCTAATCGACTGCAGATGCAGCTGGATCCGACGGCTTAGCGTGCCTTTCATTTTATTATAGTCTATTATTTGTTTAATATTGTGACAGTTTCTTTCGCCTTATTTTCTTTATCTTTACAGCTAGACTAGCACTAACAAGTACATAGTTCTTGAATTTTAATAAGAATATTTTATCTACTTATCTAACATGTTACTTATTTCAAATATTTCTTTTCGGTATCATTATAAGTAGTGAACTCGCTCGAAAAGTAAATGGTGCAGTTTCAAACCTTACCAGCCCGAGGACCTAGGACAAGACTTTAAAATATATTTTTTATCTTTTAACTAAATTAAAGAGGCTCTATCTATGTAATTACACTTGGTCGTTTGTCCGTATTCGGGTGCATGAAAGACATTACTCGAATTCGGGCATTTGAAGCAATATTTACATTAGAACACGGGCTGGAAGACAGTGTCGGGTAAACAAAACGAACACTAAGTCGTTTACATAAATTCCATTAGCAATCATATTCGGGCTAACGACCAAGTGTAATTGAACCATTATATACAATAACCACCAAAGGTACAAACAATACATTGTACCAGAACATATATTTCGAAATTATAAAATTCATCTTTAGATTTTAAGGAGGGAAATGCTGAGAATGTAAAGCCTATTTAGATAAATGTAATTGGTTTAATTTCGTAGTTTGGTGCTTTAATATCTATTATTAAATAGATTTTGATCTTTATTTTTCAAAGCCTTTTGCAATATTGTAATATAAACTAGTGGCCCGCCCTCGCTTCGCTTCGGTGTAGGTAGACTCTAGTTTTTGATCTCAGGCTTGTACATTTATCGAGGAAGACTGTAGGCTATATAATATCACGGTATGACCATTAGGAGCGGAGCATCGAAGATTTTTTTTTTGCCAAAACGGGTAAAACTGTTCGTTTTGTGCATTTCCGTTGCAGTTCCGTTTAACTGCTTACGCAGAGCAGTTAAAGTTACACAAAAATCATCTATGAAAAATTGTTTACCATTAATTGTAGATATTGATGTCCTCTATAAAACATTAGTACATCACTTTACTCTATTGTCAATGACTTTTGCAGCGTACGCAATATAAGGTTATTGTTTGGTATTTTTGGAGTTTACTCCTTAAGAATCGATTTATATAAGGGGCCCGGTATGAGAAAAATGTGAGGAGTAAAATCTATCGATGAATGACATTAATGACCTCGTTATGTTTTTGTGCGCAACCTCATCTGCGCACCTTTCACTTTTAGCCATGGCAACGGATAAAAAGCATTAAGTTGTCACAAATGTCAATAAAATAAATAAACTAAAATAGATAAAATCGGAGCAAAATTAATGAAAAAAAATATATAACAGAATATAGAGAAATGCCGGTAAGTGTCCAGCACTCTGGAATAGTGATTTTCAGTACAGATGGAATTATAATACATATTTACAAAATGATGACTAGTGTGTGATATTTTTGAAATTGTGTGGTTCCAGAAATACATAATAAAATATATGATGAATATCGCTGATGTTAGATGATAAAATGTGTGACATGGAACCTATGATAGTCGAAACCATGGAACGATTCCTGAGGTATCTCTACTTGTAACCGACTTCTTTGGACTTGATTTTGTTTTGTATCTGTTCAAAGACAATCGTTTTTAGAGTGTAAACTCCGGTCGTGCGTCGGAGCTGACACACACAATTTTTTTTTTCATACCCCGGATTACGTTATCAAAGTTTTTATACAGAACCCTAACTTTTTTGAAAATACTCTATAGCCTATGTTCATCAGGTGGATGATGGATACTAAAAGTGAAAGGAAAGACTTTTTCAAATCAGTCCTGTAGTTTCGGAGCCTATTCAATACAAACAAAGAATCAAATGTTTCCTCTTTATAATATTAGTATAGATAAGTAGTAAGTTTAAGTATAGATATAATTGTACATGCTAATTCCGTTGTGACTGCAGGTTATAAATAATTCATAGCTGTGAAAATTCAAACTAGTTCAAGACATTTCTTTACTTTTTACCCCGTTCAGATTATATTTCATGTTAACAAATCCGATGTCAATACTTCTATTAATATTAAAGCGTTAGCTACGGTTAATGCTTAAGAACAAAATTATGATAAGCATTTAATACAAGAATTAAAGTACTGGGATAGAATTATGACAGCTAAACATCTATAATGCAAACGTAAGCCGCATTTACATAAGACAAGTATCTATACACTACTTTGTATAAATAAATTAAAGATAATGTTTAAAAGTGAAAGCATTAACTTAGCATAAAATTGAATACTAAATAACTTATTTTATGTCCTCTTACATTACACAGACATTTAAACGACTTCCTCTATAAAAATCAAGCAAAACATAACATTGCAACGAAACGGTTAATGAAAGTTTGATCTTGTATTGGCGATTTCAATTATTTTGGGAATTATACAAAGTAGAGTTCGATTGACTTTGTCTGCAAAATTTGAATTCGGTTATAGCTAAGCGCTTTTTTGATATTAATATTTAAAAAGACTTATTTTCCTCTCATCTTCTTTTTAATAATCATTAAGGAAGAATTTCATTATATAATTATAAACCTTCATTGAAAATTAATTTAGCTGATACTAAAAATTTTGTTGCGAAGTTTAGGTACTTAGTTTACCCGTTTAGTTGTACCG